ACACTGCAGTAACAAAACCCCAGGTCACAGTGTCCTCTGCTTCTGAGCCACTTTACTCCAGAAACTTCCCTAGAGAGGCCCCCTTGGGACTTCCCTAGAGAGTCCGCCGCGCAATCACCAAAGACCATGCAAAGAAAGAAGGCAGGGACTGGCCCCTTCGGAGCCAGGATCTCTGGGTCTGGAAGAAGGATCAGGAAGGTTGGCGGAGACTGCGAATAAGTGAATGTGGGGATTGGAAGGGGGAAATAACTGACGCAGGAGAGCTGCCAGGCGCTGCTCCCGTTACCTGTCCCCCAAGAGGGCTTCTTTCGGCTCCAAGAGGGAGGCGCCCCAGCCCGGGCCCACTTCTCGGGCATCTCCTTGGGGACCGTCATGATCCCGGTTTGAGCGGGGGAGAGCAGACTGTCTGTCCTTGGCCTCAGCGGCGCCGACGGGGCGGACCCCCAGGGAGGTGAAGAAGCTGTGGCCGCTCAGAGGGGAGCCCCGGCCAATGGGCGCGCGCCCCATCCGCAGCCCAGGCCATCCTCTCGGCCGCCTGCGCTCGGGGACGCCCCGAGCTCAGCTGCTGCGCCGCAGCCACCACCGCCCCCCATGCCCCCGCGGACGCCAGTGTGCGCTGAGTGGCCCGGGACGCGATGAGCACGCCCGGGGCTCCGCCCCTGCCCGCTCCCCAGCTGCAGGGGCAGCGCCTGCCAGCGCGCCGCGTAGGCGAAAGCCAGCGCGCAAGCCCCGCCCCCGCCCGCCCACCCCGGGCCGGGCCAATGCGGGTGAGCGACTGCCAGCGTTGTCGCGGGCAACCGCTTTCTTCTCCCCCACCGCGCCGCGGGAAAACGGGGAGAACGAGGTGGATGGAAAAATGAGGGGGGAAAGGAGGTGAGAGGACGAGGAGAGCTGAGAACCCAGGCCGGGGAGCAGGAGCTGCAGGTGCCCCAAGATAAGAGTGCAGGTGTTTCCGCGGGAGCCGGTGCTCAGCCTCCTCACAGCAGAGAACCCAGCTCTGGGATCGAGCGGAAGAATTCGGTTTCCTAGGCTACCCCCAAGCGGGGTATCGGTTTTAATCTACCCGTCCTCAGACCCATACCAGTTGTCCCTTTTCCCTCTGCTTCCCGAGCCATAACGACACGAACTCTTGCCGGTCCCAGGATCCCCTCTCCTTGCCTATCTTACCTGGGGGGCGCTTTTTTGCACACAGTGCCATCTCACCCAGCAAGGTCCCAGCAATCCCATGGGAGTCCCTGCAGGAAGGTGACAGATGAGTGAGGTCAGGAAGCTGAGGTCAGGAAGCTTCATTCCCCTCATCAGACGCCTTCTGAATGCTCTCTTCTCCATCTCTGACCCTGCCCCTCCCCCAGCCTTCTCCTACCAGCTCCACCGACACTCTTTTCTTACTGCCCTGACGGGTCCCTGAGAAAGAAGAGGGGACTGCACGATGCCTCCGCCTTGGATAACATGGGGAGACTGAGAGTTTACAGGAGCCAAGGCCTGCAGGGAAAGGGAGAAGGGAGAACAGGCCAGATATTGAAGAGGGACACAGCTCTCAAGGCATCCATCCTAGGGACAATGGATGTTCCCATGTGCCTTCCTGGTGGCAATGACCGGTGCCTGTGCTTACTAGAAAGCAGAATTTCCCCCAAAGGGTGGGGTGGAGGGACTATAAGTCAGGAAACACCTGGCAGGGCATCAGGAAATAGAGTGGGCAGGCTCCGCACTTCTCGAAATGCTTATAATTCCCCCATCCCCCTCGTTACTGGGGCTTCCATTATCACCTCCTCCAGGAGAGCTCACATTAAAGGCATGGCCCTCACTTCCTGCACAGACAGTCCCAAAACCACTTCCTCTCAGTCTGGACCATCGCCCTTTGGGCCAGCAGAGGGGTCGTTCCACCCCTGGCAGGGAGTTTGTCTCTCCCTCTCTCCCACCCCAAGCCTAGTCCGGTCAGTATGGCACCGGGTGCAGGCTCAGGTAGCATCAGTCAGACAGGCCTCTGCTTCCTTCCACATGTCTTTTCTTTCTCCTAGATAGGTATGAGGCCTGGCCTACAAGACAGGGTCACAGAGCTTCATCCCAATTCCCCAGCCTGGCCCAAAGGAAGCTACCAGCCTGTCACCTCCTCCTTCTCTGTCTGGGTGGAGGGCCTTCCACCTCTTCCTCCTCCTTGGTTCCCTTGCCTCCAGCCTACGGGGCACACCCCACCAGCCTGTCAGCCCCAAGAGATACTAATTGCCTGTCTGCTCAACCTCTATAATTACAGACTCTGGCCACGGCTCAGTCACCCACACGAGTTCTCCCTTCACTAGCTCAGACTCCCTCCCTGACCCCAGATCAGGCAATCCTGAAAGCCAGAAGTCCTTTTCATCCCTGACCTTCCCCACTATGGCAGGCAAGGGTGCCTGGCTCAGGAAGAAAAATCTCATCCACATTTTAGAGATGCCAAGCCCTCCTCCAGGGCCCCCAGCCAGGGTCTCCACCCAGTCTAGAGTATGAATCATGGCAGGGTGGGTGTGGAGGGAGAGGTTAAAGGAAAGGATGCAAGGGTGGGCATCACAGGTTCCAAAGCCAGCCCCACCCTTGGGGAGGGAGGCAACCAAGAAACACTATCAGCCAGAGGACTTGGGTTTGAGTCCTATGAAAGAGTTAAGGAAGGAGCTGCATGCCATCAGGAGTGAGGAATCTGGACACCGACCAGGAAAGTTGTTTTACCTCTAAGACCCTGGGGAGACTGAAAGCAGGCTTGGTCCAGGGCTCGTCCCCTACGTGGGGCATAAAAGGGAAGGGAGGCCTGGGAACAGGGACCCCCTCTCACTTCTCCTTCCCAGTCTCACACAGCCTGGGTTTTCTGAACAGGTCAGGCCCATCAGCCACGTCGCCCTGCCCCGTCACCCTGCCCCAGCCCCCTCTGCGGCCACATTTGGGATAAAAATAGCCAGCCCTGGGAAGGAGGCAATGCTCCATGAAGGAAAACGTCTTTCTATAGGTCTGGTCCCTACTCCCTCCAACCAAGAGCCCCGAGGCCTGACCCCCTCTTTCAGAGGAGGCCAGTAGGTCAGGAAAACAGGCGGAAATTGAATCCAAGACCCCCCAGCTCACTTGCAACGAACACCAGCTCCAGCCACCCTCCGTCACCAAGGACGGAACTCAGGACTCACTCCACAGCTCTGAGCTCCCAAAGCTACCTCTCGTCCCGGCACCCTTGGTTTTCCTAAGGCACAGAGACCTCCACCTTCCAGAGACAAAGCCTACCAGCCCCAAACTCCGTTTTCCGGGGACCTAAACCCTAGGGCCCCGCTTACTCCTCTCACCCCCACAACTCTCAAGGCGGTTCTCCCCTCTCTGATCTTCCATAAGCTTCTCCTTGGCACTCCCCGCCCCTTTCCTGCTTTCCACGCGCCCCGTCAGCACCCCATCCTCCCATGCTGCGGACAGCCCCCCGGTCTCCCCTATCCTCGGGCACCCCGACACCCCCTCCTCGCCAGTCATCCACTTCCCCTGCCCCGTCTCAGCGAAGCTCCCGACGCCCGCTCCCCGGTCCTCCCCCGTCCACACCCCACCCCCCACCCCGGGGCCCCTCCAGCCCCAAGTCGGCGGCCACAGCCGCATCTCCCTTCGCCCTCCCGGCCCCGCGCTCCGGGGCTGCGCCCACCTCGCCTCGCCTCACCTCAGCGCTCAGCGCTCGGCGCCCGCCCCGGCGGCCCTGTCCTGCCCATGCCGGGGGCTGGGGCGGGGGGCGCTCGGCTCAGCTCCCCGCGGGCTCCCGCCCCCCAGCTGCAGCCCCGCTCCCCCCGGGGCCTCGGCCCGCTACTTTGTGTCAGTTTCGGCCACGGCGGGGCGGAAGTGACGGAGGCGGCGGTGGAGGGCGGGGGGCGGGAGGGGGTTTTGGGGAGGGGTGAGGGAGAGAGAAGGAGGGCGCCGCCATCTTTGTGCGGGGCAGGGGGAGGGTCTTAAACCTTCCGAGGCTTAGCATTGCCAGGCCGGCCCCCTCCGACACACATACCCACATCCATTCCGCATCTATAAAAAAAAAAAAAAATTAGGGAAATTCAGGAGGCTAATAGCTCTGAGGTTGTTTTGTTTTTTTTAATTTGGAAGAAAGAGAATAGAAGAACACTGCCTTGTCTGCAAAAAAAGCATCTTCTGCAGGGAAGGGCGTGAGAGCTGGAAAAGTGGTGAACAACGAGAATTTTCTTTAGCGTCAGTTTCCTCTCAGTCCCCGACTCATGCTCCTCAGAGCCGTCCGCCCTCTGTTCCTTCACCTTCTCTCCTGGCCCTGGCGTATCTCACTGTCTCATCCTCTCCTTGAGTGATACAGCCCCGGAATGTCTAGGTACCGGGCTGTGCCTCAGTTTCTCCGCCTTGCTCTCCCAGTCTCCGGATGCGGGAAGGGCTGGGTCCGGCCGCGCTCCCGCTCTCCGCCCCCACCACGCCCCCGGGTGGAGGCAGCTTCCCCACCCCTAACCACCGTCGGGGGCGGCGGCGTCTAGGGAGGCGGCCCTGCGAAGGCAGAGGCGGGCGGCGCTGGTGGTGAGAGCTGAGCTGGAGCTCGGCAGTTGCGACCACGCGCTGCAGGGATGTCCTCAGCGTCAGGCTGCCCACTGCCACTGTGGATGGTGAGCCCCTCCACCCCGCAGATTCCCACAGCCTTCCCTACCCGGCATCCCGGTGCGCACCCTCTGGCGGCTGCTTTGAGCAGCTACGTTCTTAGAGGGCCTGAGGGTCAGAAAACCGGCTTGGAGAGGAAGGGGTGAGGAGCCTGAGTCCCCGGGCCTTATCCTCCTCCAGTTCTCTCTGTCCACGATCCTTCCTAGTTTAGGAGGAAGGGATGCCTGGATGGGTAAACAGAGAAGCTTCCCACGGTCTGGCGTATTAATAAAGAGAAAGAATATCTGTCTTGCTACCGGGCGGGCTCTGTGGCTCTGTCCGGAGCCCGCGAGTGCAGAGGGCTGTGGCTATCACAGTGTACACTCCAGCATCTGAGCTGAGGCAGGAGTCTCCAACTCTGAGGCTTAGTTTTGGGCACACTCGAGATTCTGAGCTGGCTCCGAGTCGTCAGGGTGATGCAGAGCCACCAGCAGGTGGTACGCAGCTGTGCCAAGGATGGACCCCACCAGAGGGGCCACCACAGGCACCCACCACCAGCCATTACCAGCACTGCAAGAGAAGGACAAAAGAGAGATGTCAGGGGTGACTCCCTTAGCTTCCCCCTCTCTAAGGACTGGGGGCAGTAACAGGAGAGCTCCCTAAAGTAGTTCCTGGGGTGATGGTCACCAGGAAGAGCATTGTCTTGACACCAAGGTGTAGCAATTAGAGAGGAGGCAATGCCAGGAGACCTTGGTCCAGCCTTTTGCCTTAGGGAATTATCTGAATATACTCATTTTGCTGATGAGGTCACTAGGGCCCAAAGAGGTAATATGATGTGCCTAAGAATGCAACCTCTACATCAGTGAAAAGGGCGGAGGGAGGCAAGGGAGAAAGGGGAGAACATGTGGCTTGGAGAAGGGACACTGTCCTAAGAGGCCAAGAGAACTATTTAAGAGAAGAATGCTGGGGACTCAGGGACAGAGACCTTAGCAGAGGGAAGTGAGTAAAGGACAGCACCAGGGAGGCCGTCTCCCACCTGAAGACTTCAGGGCCCCAGCCAGCCACGTAGGTGAAGAGCCGTGGGCCCAGGTCCCGGGCAGGGTTGATTGGAAAGCCGCAGTTGGCACCCATGGATAGCCCGATGACCAGGACCAGCAGCCCCGCCGCCACAGGCTCCAGACCTGCAGGGACTCCCTTGTTCCGTCTGTCCAGGATGGCCAAGAGCCCCACAATCAGCATCCCAGTGCCCAGAACCTTGGAGTCAACAGAAACAAAGGGATCTCCATCAGGTGCCAGGTGCTCCATCTGCCCTTTCTCACCAAAACACTCCGCGCCACCATCCCCCTGGCATCTGGCTTTGTTCAACACAGGCAGCTGGAGTGGGGAGGAGGGTGCCAAGATAGAGCCAACCCCGCACCCCACCGAAACTGAACAAGAGGCTGGGGTCCCAAGGGACAGGGCGAAAGTTGGGCCTCCCAGGTTTCACCCTCACACCTACCTGATCCAGGAAGCCATTGTTCAGGGATAGATAGGGGGCAGGATAGGTGGCAAAGATGGAAGCTGTCTCCTTGGGGCCAGTCACTGTCAGGTTCCCACCTGTATAATTCTGTAGGGCATCTGTGGAGGAGGGGGACACCCAGGGTTTCCATCTTTGTTCATCCAAAACCGAGGCACCTCTACCCACTTCGGGTTCCCCGAAGCCTGTTCCTTCTCTTACCATAGTAGAGAACATAGGTGGCTCCCGAGGCACAGAAAGAAGACAGCAGCTGCACCAACCAGTAAATGGGGAGCTTTGCCCAGGGGAAGCGTCCCAGGAGGGACACGGCCAGGGAGAAGGCTGGATTCAGGTGGGCCCCTTCAAGGATCAAGTAAAGAAAACCAGCATCCATTAATTGTTGCTGCCAGGCACCGTCGCCAAGCAACACTACTATGCCTTCGCACATCCTTAAGATAGATAATATTATTCCCATCACATAGCTTAGGAAACTGAGGCTCAGGGACATTAAGTGACTTATCAGGATCACACAGTGAAGGCAAGATGTGAACCTGGGTCTGTCTGCTCGCTGTAGCCAGGTGCATTGGCACAGTGTGTATCTGAGGGAAAAGAGGACAAGGTCCTGAGCAGAAATGAGCCCCAGAGAACTTCAGGTGGGGCACAAGAAGAGAGCATCTACCCTCCATGCCCTGCCATAGGTTTCTGCCTGGGATTAGCATGAGGAAGGGAGATGGAGAGATACAGAAAGGGGAGAGGCTGGATGGAGCCAAAGGTTTATCTCAGTCCAGGGCACTGGTCAAGCTCAAGGAGATAATATCCATGAGTCACCAAAGGACCTGCCTTTTCACCATCCACAGCCACCCACATTCATATGCACACCTCACCCTCCTCACCTGAGACATTACCAGCCACGTAGATGCCTATTGTAACAGCCAGAGAGCCAGCCAGAAACATGGTGAAGAAGTTGCCTTTGGTTTCTCCACTGGTGACAGCCTGGGCCGCAGCCCCTAGAGTGAGAAGCTGCTGGGAAGAGGAGAAATGAGGAACAGGGAGCCCTGGGGACCACCAGGGGAGGGAGATTGGGAAGGCTAGAGATGCGGCTGACAGAGATGGATGGACCTGAGGGACTGCAAGGAAAGGAGAGAGGCAGAGAGAAGGAATGGAAAAGAAATGGGAGAAGTAGAGGAAGAAGAAAGGGAAAGAAGGAAAGGGACAGGAATAAAAAAGATGAAGTAGGAGAGGAAAGGAGAGAGATTAGGAGAGAAAAGAGGAGGAAAAAGAGAAGTGATTGAGAGTTGAGAGGAAGTGGGACAGCAGGAGAAAGAGATAAGGACACCAGAAGGAGCCAGAAACTGTTGCCCACCTCCCTTGTTTCCTTCCCCCAACTACCCTGCCTACCATGAGCACAAACACACCCAGAAACTCTGCCAGGCACTGTCGGGCCAGGAGGCTGCGGATCCGGAGTTGGCCCCTGATTTCGGCCAGGGTCTTCTCGAGGGCCATGGTGGCGACACTTTCTCTCTGATCACTGCTCCCTCCGTCTGCATAGGCACACTGCTACTACACAACTACTGCTTGCTGGGGGAAAAGATAAGAAAGAGACTTTAAAACCAATTAGCTCAGTTCCTGAACAGCAACTAGCATCTCTGCGCGTGCGTAGGCTAGGAAAGATACAGATTACAGGAGAATGATTGTGAGCAGGCCGTGTACACGATCAGAGCCTGGAGTTTGCCCAAGCTCTGTCTCTTCTGTCCTTCATCCCCACTCCTCACAGTACTAACCTCCCCTATGCTGACAGCCTGAGGCGAGTCCCCTCCTTCGTATGTTTAATATGTTAGTTCTCTTGGTCCTGAAAACAACTCTGTAAAATAGTACCATTGCTTCCGTTCTGCAGATGAGGATACTGAGCCTTAGAATTCCCCAAGATCACATAATTAGTTCATGACTGAGTGAATTCAAATCCACAATGCCTCTCATCTGGAACGTGAAACCTTTCCCCAAAGGTTTGGATGCTTGCGGAATTCAATAGGCATCCAGAGAGACTGGGCTGAAAACCACAGACAGTGGGAATGAAACCCCACGCTGAACGCTTGTACTTCCTTCATGCCGAGGCTCATGTTGCTTAGAGAAGGCTTTATCTGTGTTTCTCTCGCCATGGCATGAGATGAGGCCCGCACACCCACGCTGAGTCCCACCTGCTCTTCTCTGGACACCCACCACTATTATTCTGCATAACACACAGCCACATTCTACTTCTTCACAGCTCAAGCCTCCACTTAGATTCATTCAACAATGAATCTACCTCAAGACTCTGGAGAAAGTGGTGAAAAAAACAGTCTCTGCCCTCCTAGAGCTTATGTTCTAGTAGGTAAAAACAGGCAGTATACAAATTTTTAAAATAGCATATACTGTTTATGAGGTTCTTGAAGGCTGGGACCATGATTTACATAATCCCATGGGCTCTAGCACAGTCCTGGCACATCTGTGTGCGATAATACTTCTTCACTGGGTTTAATGGATACCATAGTGCTCCCTCCACATCCCCTCTTGGGAGCCAATGCGCCTATTCCCCAGTTGCTGGAAATATGAGCTGCTGATACCACACAGCTGCCTCCCTCATTGGGCAATGCCCTTTGAGGCAGGAAACTGCCTCGCCCAGCGTTATATAGCCTCCTATGAGGCCCACGCCCAGTGACAGTACAGTGATACAAAGTCCTGGCCTCTTTGCCTCAATCTGGGACAACTCTGACGGGCTGTTCCAGCTCCAGAGTTCTCTATGAGACCAGTTTAAGCCTCTGTTCTACCTTCGATGTGTGTCAGTTTCTCCTTGTGCTTAATCCTGCTTTCCTCCCTTCCTTACATGTGTATTTCCCAAGAATGCTAGCATGGCCAGATAAACCTTGTTCATGTATCTCTTCATCTTAGTCTTTTTCCAGGGAACCCAATTTAACATGGTTGGTGTCAGGGGTGGTCCTGGCGAGCATACTCTAAAATGGGATTTGTGTAATAGATTATTCACTGCTGGCTGACAATAAGGACTATATCATGGTGGTAGGTGGAGTACGGATAATCTCTAGCATGCTGTAGTGATGCAATTCTTTAAATTGTCAGCAGAAGTAAATTGGGTTACTGGTGGAAAGGATACACACTAGTGCAATATTTCCAAGAGGTGTGCACTTGAGAAGTATGAGGGAAATGGTAACTATAAATTCCATAGAATTAATCACCAAGTCAAGGCAGACTATGAAAGCCATCAGGCCTCCTTAACAGCATTTAAGGCAACCTCAATCTCTTTTTTTTTTTGAGACAGAGTCTCACTGTGTTGCCCCGGCTAGAGTGCCCTGGCGTCATCCTAGCTCACAGCAACCTCAAACTCCTGGGCTCAAGCGATCCTTCTGCCTCAGCCTCCTGAGTAGCTGGGACTACAGGCATGCGCCACCATTTCCCGGCTAATTTTTTCTATATAATTTTAGCTGTCCAATTAATTTCTTTCTATTTTTGGTAGAGACGGGATCTCGCTCTTGCTCAGGCTGGTTTCGAACTCCTGAGCTCAAACAATCCGCCCACCTCGGCCTCCAGAGAGCTAGGATTACAGGCGTGAGCCACCGCGCCCGGCCTCTCTTTTCTCTTTCTCTCTCTCCCCACATCACTTTAAAAAAGAATAAAAAAATAGTTTCATTTTCATAAGTTCTAAAGTGACATGTGCTCGTTATCCTTATACCTCATACTTTATGTTTCCAGGTAGGAGAACTTCTATTAAACCAGAGTTCTTCAACCAGGAATAGTATTACACCCTGGGGAGAATTTTGAAAATTTATAGAGTTAGAAGTTTTGTTGATGTTGTTTCACAATCAAGGAGGGGTGGGTAATTCATACGTTTAGTGGTCAGAGGCCAGCTATTCTAAACATCCTGCAAGACACATGGCAAAGATTTGTTCTATGTCCTACCTGGCTTTAGAATGTCCTATCAGATATACATATTGGTGAAAAACTTGTTTATAATTATGTAAACTCAGAATATGACTCATTTTTTATATGAGCACAAAGAGTTTTTTAGCAGTTTTAATACATACTGAATTTTCTAGGAATGCAATCATTGTGTAAACTGTGGGGAGACAGTTCTTTTGTTTGGAACTTTAGCAAGGACCACTCACTGTTTCAGAAAAACAGTTAGCAGTGGCTAAATTTTGCCAGCTGTGGTGGCATGCACCTGTAGTTCCAGCTACTTAGGCGGCCGACGTGGGAGCATTGCTTGAGCCCAGAAATTCAAGGTTGCAGTGAGCTATGATCATGCCACTGCACTCCAGCCTGTGTGACAGAGTGAGACCCCATTTCCAAAAAAAAAAAAGATAGCTAATGATGACTGGAATTCTGGGAAGACTGCAGCAAGAATGAAAGCCTAGTTTTCAGATTTTCTGGAATCACCACATAAAAACAAATAGATAAAATTAAAGCTCATTAAAAACATATGTAATAAAACTAGGTGACAAAGCATACTTTCAAACCCTATAGTGCAAGTGGGTAGGAACAACATCAATAGCCATTAGACCTGTACAGTATGAGTGTCCGTGCAGGAAGAAATAGAGAAAAGTAACAGGGTATGTGATAGACCTGAGAACCGGAAAACTCCAAAATGTCCCTCAGGTACTCACTGGAAACGTCAGCAAGTCAATTTGAGAACAATAACTTAAAATGGCATGGAATTCACCCCTTCAGTAGTGAGTGATTGCAAGAGGCCTACAGAAGATGATCTGTAGGGATTGCATCAGTCAGGTCCCTGTGAACTTTTAAAACTGACCTAGCTGGACTCGCTTCCAGAACAGGAGAAACTGCTCATCAATTTCTTCAAAAACAAAACCTTGCTGAGATTTGATAGAGATTGCATTAAATCTATAGATAAATTTGGGGAGAATCGCTATCTTAATGAGTGTTCCAATCCATGAACATGGTATATATCTCCCTTTATTTAGATTATATTAAATAATTCTGTCAGCAATTCTTGTAGGTTTTGTTTTTTTGGAGACAGGGTCTTGCTATGTTGCCCAGCTGGACTTGAACTCCTGGGCTCAAGTGATCCTTCCACCTCAGTCTCCCAAATAGCTGGGATTATAGGCATGCACTATCAAGCCTGGCTAATTTTTGCAGTTTTCAATGTTCAACTCTTGCACTTCTTTTGTCAAAATTATTCTTAAGTATTTTATTCTTTGTTATGCCATTATGAATGGGATTCTTTTCTTAATTTTATTTTCAGATTGTTTGTTGCTAATTTATAGAAATACAATTTTTTTTGCAATTTGTTCTCATATCCTGAAACCTTGCCATATTCACTTATTACTTCCAATGGTTTTTTGTTGTTGATTCCTTGGATTTTCTTCTACATATAAGGTAATAGCACCTGTGAATGAAGACAGATTTTTTTTTCTTTTCTTTTTTGTTTTTTTTCCTTGCAGCTTCAGCTCAAAGAAAGAACAGTTTTACTTCTTTTCCATCCCATATGTCTTTCATTTCTGTTTATAACCTAGAGCCTCCAGTACAATGTTGCATAGAAATGGTAAGAGGAGATAGATATTCTTGTTTTGTTTATAATCTTAGTGGGAAAGCTTCAATCTTTCACCATAAAATATGTTAGTTGTAGGTTTTTGTATATACCTTTTATCAGGTTGAGGATTTTAGTTTGTTGAGTTTTTTGTTGTTGTTGTTATTGAGACAGGGTCTCACTCTGTCAGCCAGTTTAGAGTGCAGTGGCAGCATCATAGCTCACTGCAACCTCAAACTCCTGGGCTCAAGCAATCCTCCTGCCTTGGCCTCCCAAAGTGCTGGGATTATAGGTGTGAGCCACTGTACCCAGCCAGTTTGTTCGGTTTTTATCATAGCTAGGTTTTAGATTTTTCAAATACTTTTTCAGCCTTTAGTGAGATGATCATGTGGGTTTTGTCACTTTTTTTGGTATTAATATGACTTACTTCATGAATTGATTTTTTGATGTTAGACCAATCATATTCCTGGGATAAGCCCCACTCGGTCAAGGTGAATAATTTCTTTTATATGTTGCTGAATTCGGTTTGCTCACATTTTGTTGAAAAATTTTTCATCTATGTCCATGAGGGTTATTATTCTGTAGTTTTCTTCTGATGTTATTCTCTGGGTTTGGCGTCAGAAAAGTGAGTTAGGAAGTCATTCTCTTTCTCTGTTTTCTGAAAGAGATTATGCTGGATTTGTATTATTTCTTCCTTAAATGCTTGATATAATTCATCACCAAATTAGACTGTGAGTTTCTTAAAAAAAACTAAAAATAAGATAATAAAATAATTCACCAACAAAGCATCTGGGCTGGCTTTGTGTGTGTGTGTATGTGTGTCGGGGGAGAGGATTTTAAATTCTAACTCTTTCTTTTACTTGATATTTGGGTAGGTCTATTTGGATTTTCTAATTTTTCTTTAGTCAGCTTTGGTAATTTGAGTCTTTCTAGAGTTTTCTCCATATCGTCTAAATTCCCTAACATG